AGGTGGGGAGCAGCCACCTGCTGAACCCCTGTGGGGAGCTGGGGAACAGCACCCTGGTGAGTCTGGAGCCCCCACAGCCCCAGCCCGGACAGAAGAGACAGGAACGCCCCATGGCACGGGGGATCCTCAGTGAACAGCCAATTAACCTGTGCTTGATGTGAAGCAGCCGAATTTCAACACCCAGCACAGCCTCACTTTACCAACCTCAAGAGAACACAGCTTGCATTTGGAAAGAACTTTATTTAAAATCAGCGATTATACAGATTTCCCCTGCTCACAGCACACGAGTGTCCCGGCCCACGGTCCCTGGTGGCCAGGCTGGGCACGCCCGTGGCTGTGCTGGCTTACACCAGTCCCCATGATTCCATATGGGAATACAACACGTACAAAAGATCTGCTCCTTCACAGCTAACAGGCATTTCATTAACCTCGACAGATTTGATTTCTATTACTTCTAGCATAATCAGACTTTGAATTTGTCTTCTGCTAAGAAACCTGGAAAAAGGAAAGTTCCTTTAGCAACTGCGTGCACCAGCAGAGCAATTCCCACCACCTTCGTCACCACAGAGACAGCAGGAGTTGGGGCCATCAGCAGGGAAATATGATCAAGAGCAGCATTTTCCATGTGACCTCAAGTTACAGTTGTCTACAGAAGAAGGAACTGTGATCATCCGTAGGGAAGCAGTTCAGTACTGGATCCATTGTTAGAAGAAATCGAGTTGAAAGCAGGTTTAACCTTAAATAGGATTAAATATATATTGCAAGACACACCACACTCCACAGGGGCTGCACATAGAAGCAGAACTGTGGGCGGGGGGGGGCAGGGTCCCCCCACCTGCACCAAACATTCCCACACAACATTGTCAAATTTAAAACTATCAGCACTTGTTGAAAGTTGTCCAAGGAGTATTTACAGCACAGGCACAGCTGGGAGAGGCCCCGGGAGCTCCACAGTCCGTGACGCTCCGGCACCGAGTCCTGTCAGGAGCAGGTGCTGCCCAGCCGTGCCAGTCCCCCAGGAACCCCGGTGCCCCCATACAGACAAGCGCTTGGCGTGGGTTAGGGCAAAGCTACAGAGATGCAGCTGCGAGGACAGCACTGCCACATGCTGCAGTGGGGCCTCCCTGCGCACACGGGCGACGCACGGCGGGGCTCCTCGGGAACATGCTGCACAGTCGGGCTCCAGCCACTGCAAAAATCCCGGCTTCCAGCGTCAAATGAAACCATTTCCAGCTATACAGAGAGTGACACCGGTCTGGCACCGGTGTTCACAAGATGCCAGTTCCTATGGACCTACATCGTGTTACAGCTCCGCGTGCGAGACACCAGGCTGGATCTTCAGCGAATAAGTAGGTCCACGATTGTAGATCAACAACAGATTTTTATTGCTTTATACATGTGGTGCTGTTCAAGGCACTGTGGCACGGGCTAGAAAACTCGGAATGACTGGTGAAGGGACCTGGAATGCGACACGGCCGCTCCTCGGCAGTGCTGCGGCGGCCGGGGCCGGCGGGCCATGGCCCGGCCCTGGCCCCTCACATGCCCATCCGGATGCTCTGGATGATCTGGAAGATGGCTGCAAGAGAGCGGAGAAGGGAGCTCGGGGGGCCCGAACGCCGCCGGGCCCGAGGAGCGCCCCGAACCGCCAGCGGGGCCAGCGGCCGCTCACCTGATCCGCAGACCACGAAGATGAACAGCGCCAGCAGCCAGGGCCCGACCGACGCCTTCTCCTCCGGGGCCGTTCTCTGCGGGCACAGCACCGGTCAGCGCGGCCGCCCCGGCCCCGCCGCCCCCCGCCCGCCCGCCCGCTCAGCCCGGCCCCGCGCACCGAGGTCTTGGCGACGTTGCCGCGCTGGGTGATGTTCTTGCTGTGCTTCTCGTTGGCCATGCGGATGCGCTGCTTGGCCACCATGGCGGCTCGGATCGGCCCGGCCCGGCCCGGATCAGCTCAGTTCGGCTCCGATCAGCCCGGCCCGGTTCGGCCCAGCTAGGCTCAGCCCGGTCCGGCCCAGTTCGGCTCAGCCCGGCTCAGCTCGGCCCGGCCCGGCCCAGTTCGGCTCAGCCCGGCTCAGCTCGGCCCGGCCCAGCTCAGCTCGGCTCGGTTCGGCTCAGCCCGACCCGGTTCGGCTCGGTTCGTCTCAGCTCGGCTCGGTTCGGCTCAGCCCGGCCCGGTTCGGCCCGGCCGCCGCTGCCGCGTCAGCACCGCGCGCGCCGCACGCCGGGAGCGCGCCGGGGGCGGGGCCGCGCGCGCCAACCCGCGCACGCGCCGCAGCCCCGCCCCGCCCGCGCAACGTGGCGCGCGCTGCGGCTGCCGCGCGCCGCTGAGCCGGAAGCGGAACCGCCGCCGCCGCCGCGCCAAGATGGCGCCGCCCACGCCGCTGCTCGCGGGTGCGTCCGGCCGGGCCCGCCGGTCCCCATCGCCCGTCCCCTCCGCAGGGAGCGCTGCCTCTGTGTGACCGAGACCGGCCCTGGCGCCCTTGGCGGGACCGCTCCCGGGGCCGGGCAGGGCTCACCGGGCCCTCTCCGGGGGTGCCGCCGTTCAGCCCGGCACCCCGCGGGAGCTCCCGGGGCAGCGTGTCCGGGGTTCGCCCTTCAGGCGCGGGGGTGTTCTCGCGCGGTTCCCGGGGGGCGTTCGCGGAGCTCGGTCGGTGCGAGGGCTCTTAAGAGCCCTTTTCCTTCTGAGACTTTCCCTATTCAGCCGTTACTGACAGCAGGGAGATGTATTTTCCTTCTCTGTGTTTCTAAGCCTTAAAACTGTATTTGCCCTCGCGTGGGTCGGGGGACTGCAGCAGCTGCGAGTGGATTTTGGGCTGCTCGGTGCTATCTATAACGTGTTGTAAATCTGGATCTCAATGGGTGCCCTGATGGCAGAGCTGGAGAAGAGGCTGCAGGCAGGGGATGCAGCTTGTGGGCTGTATTTAGAGTGTGTTAAAAGGTCCCCTTGGGGTCTGTCAGGGCCTGAACCCCGGGAAAGTGCATTCAAACAAGAAAAAAATGCTTTGCTGCAAGGTGGGGGTGTGAGCTGCCCAAGGCTCTGGGCCCCCATCCCGGGGCTGGGCTGGAGGCTCCACGAACACCTCACATCCTGGGTGTCCCTACAGCGAGCAGGGGAACCTGTCAAATTGTGCTTTGGGCAATTTGAAATGAGTTCCTTGTTTCCATTTCAGTGCGAGGGTCTGAAGGACTGTACATGGTGAATGGGCCCCCCAGCTTCACAGAGAGCTCGGCGTTCCAGAGGTACTGCGGACACTGCTCTGAGCTTTGGTGCAAAAGAAACAGTTTTGTAAAAAGCAAAGGAATTGGAAAATGTGTAAATATAAGTGAATTATTTCTTGCTGTGACTGATTCAGGAAGCTGATGGTTTGGGAGGCTTTGTGCTTGCCTGAGGTGTCACTGCCAGGTGACAGTCCCTGAACAGGGGCAGCAGGGACTGCAGGGCTCTTGAGGGGTGTTGCTTTTTGGTTTTGTTAAAAAATCTTCACTTGGGCACTTCTGATTACTCATGTGCGTTTCTTATTTCTTTAGGGACTCTGGAAAAAATTGCAAGACTATTGCTTTTAGCAAGGATGGCTCTCTCTTTGCCTGGTGCAGTGGAGAAAAGTGGGTGCATTTTATTTTCTAATCTTTAGTTTGTATGAAATAAATTGGATCAGTTATGCCCTGTGACTCTTTCCTGTGTAAAGGCAGTTGCTGTTAGTGCAAGTATTTGCATGCACATTTTAAATGCAGTTTATTTTTGCATTCTTCACAGTAGTGGCTTTGTTTCCTGACTCAGATGAAATATTTGCTGTTCTACTGTGTATAATGCACCCATTCCAGTGTAATCTGGAGATGCTTTATTCATTGGGTTGTGTTTTGGTTCATAGCTCCCAGTGCCTGTTTTCTGGATGAATTGATTAGTAAAGTCCACAGGAAGTAAAGACTCTGTGCACCTTGTGTACCAACATCACAAGATTCCTTTTTATAGACCAGGTGCATTTCAGAGTTCACTCTCTTGTTCAGAGCTTGTGGATAAAAATACACGTTCTGTGCTCTCACTTTTTCTGTCGTGCCTGGGTATCTGGTTTTAAAATGTGCTGTTGCAAAAATTTATTAAAAGCAGGAGGGGGAAAAAAGCTTTTCTAATTGTGTTCCATTTGCTAAATTTGGGACAGATCTAGAAGAGTCAAATACACAAACAGTTCTGTAGCACTTAGCACACTAGCAATTAATTAACTATTGTAAGCATGTTTTATTGAAATAGCATCTTTTTGTTCCAGAGTAAACGTTGTTAACGTCACCAGAGCTGAGTTACTGCGTTCCTTTGATCTCCCCAAGGCAGTTTGCCTTGAATTCTCTCCAAAGAATAATGTCCTGGCCACGTGGCAGGCCTATGCAGGTGAGTATGGTGGCAGCTGGGCAGGCACCTGGCAGATGTGCACGTCTGAAGTGGCTGGCAACCCCTCCAGGACCTGACTCATCTCTGTGGGACATTTATTGGCTCAATGAGCAGTACAGAGAGTGCATGAAGGGTCTGTGGGTAATCAGGGACACGGCGGTGGAGTGAGGGATGCCATCCTAGAAATACTGAATCAGAGGGCACGTGCTGAAGGTACTTTGAGTGAATCCTGTGTTTCCAGGCACCGAGAGCTGGTCGTGGTGCAGTGTGTGGGCAGCGTCTGTGCAGGCAGATCGTGCTCCTGTGCAGACAGGGCACATCAGGCACCTTCCTGCAGGAGCTGTGTCCTCCTCTGGGTGCAGTGCCTGAAGTGTTGTCCCTGTCCAGGGTTTTATTCCCTCCCCTGCCTCCGCAGGGATTCAGGTCCCTGACTTGGAGAGCCCCAGTCCTGTCTGAGCAGTGTGTCTGAAGCAGACAGTGCGAATGCTGGGCAAGGGCTGGGCCTTGGGAAGTGGCCTGAGACAGGCTGTAGGATGAGAGAAAGCAGCAGAAGCAAGACAGGATCTGTCTTGAATCACAGACAGCCATAGGCAGGCTCTGGTATCTGGGGTAAGGAAGGGGGTACAGAGAGTTTAAAAGCAGCAGAACTATTCTGCATGTCTTGCAGAGAAAACCGTGACTTCCACGGGATGGACAAAATCATGGCACTCCCATGATAGCAAAATGTAAGAGTGGAGAACATGCCTCCACTGTTTGCCACGGGGATGGTTTTTGATTTTGGTTAAAAAACAACCATTAAAGAGCTGTGCAGGTGTTGTTGACCCAGCCCTGCAGTGGGGAGTAGAAACCCTACAACTCCAAAAGTGAGTTCTTTCTGCAGAGGGAAAGACTGAGGTTAATGGGTGCAGCAGTCAGCAGCCATGGGCTTGGCCCCTCGGGGCAGGATGCTGCTTGTTGGAAGCTGTGCCTGGGTGGGTGTTTGTGGAGCAGTGAGGTGGGATGTCCTGGTGAAGCAGGGTTAACCCCCAGAGACCACCGTGCTTTCTTGCAGCTGGGAAGGATGGCACGGCGGGGCCGCCCAACCTGCAGCTCCATGACCTGAGAACAGGAAAATGCCTAAAGTCCTTCATCCAGAAAAAGATGCAGAACTGGTAAATAACCCTTCCAGATGCTAATTGTTTGCAAAGAAATTCAATTTCCAAAATCTGATTCAGGTAAATGGAGCTGTTTTTGCAGTGCTGGCTAAAGGCCAGTCTGTGCTTGTGAGTGTTGGTGTGCGGCTCATTGGTAATTCACCCTCCTTTTGCACCGCAGGCAAAGCTGGGCAGGCAATAAATAAGTCCACTTGCATATTTTTTGCTATGCAGGTGTCATTTGTCCATATGAAACGTATCATGTTAGAACTTGCTGGGCTTTAAAAAAGGGAGGGGAAAAACAGTCCTGGAGTGCTAAAGATGAGCATCATTCCGTGTTTCTGACTTTTCCTTTGAATTGCAGGTGTCCTTGCTGGGCAGATGATGAAAGCATTTGTGCCAGGAATGTGAACAATGAAGTGCACTTCTTTGAAAACAACAACTTCAGTATGCGAGTATTTCTCTACATTTCATTCATTCTGTAAATGCTGCTTCTTTTGGGTGGTGGTTTTCTTTTTCAAGTTTTTCCTTGTTTCTTCTTTTGCTTGCTTTATGTTTTAAATATTGCCTACATTCTATTTGAATTTGGAATTCAGAATCGTTATGCTTTACTGAAGTGTGTTTTCACTGGCTTATGTGGTATGAAATTAATCTGATTTTCAGTTAAAGAGGCTTGATTCTATATTCTTTCTCATGTAATGAGATCCAGGAAATTGTCAGTAGAGAATGTGATCTGTAAATACTTCCTTGGGTTCAGTGTGTTCTGTCAATAAACTGTTAAAAAATGGCTTGCTAAAAATTTTGTCTCAATGGCAAATATGAAGTAGCGAAGCCTGAAAATTTTTACCAAGGAGTTTTAATACTGGTGGTAGAATATTTGGAGTCAATAGAAAACAGAAAGGGAACAGGGAAGAAAAAAGCAGGGGGTTAAAAATTAATTAGAAGAAAGCTGTAAAGGAATTAAAGAAAACTGAGGAGAGAACAGTGTGTGGTTTTGGTCTTGTGTTCTGTGTTTTAAATGTAAAGCTGATACACGAATTACAGCTATAAGAGATAGGGTTTCCCGAGAAATAGCCCTGCTGATGTTAATGAGGCTGTGGGAAGCAGGGAATGTCAACCTCAGCAGGAGGTCTGCTGGCAGTGCACATTCCTGGCTGTAGTGAGGCTGTGGGGTGCTGGTGTTCCCAGCAGTTGTTTGTGGAAAGGGGCAGAATTCAGCCAAGAACAGGTCTCTGAGTGCTTCCTGTGGGGAAGGTGTGAGGGGAGAGCACCTGTCTCTGTAATGGTACCTGTTCCCTGGATGTGACTGAAGCCAGCACAGATAAGGTGAAGAACACCTGCTTTAAGCACAAGTGTTCACTTGGGATTTGCAGGCTTCCTGTGCTGTTTCCAAATACTAAATTTTAGACCTAGGCTTGATTCCAGTTGGTTTTGTAAATAAAACTGTAATGACATGGGAAAGTAATGGTTATTTGCCTAGTAAAAGAAATCCTTTATGTTAATCCTTACTGATCTGTGTTATGCAGGGTACAAGCCCATAGAAGGATGTGGTTGGGTCATCCAGGTAATGCAGTTTATCATTAACATCACACATCTGTGGCCTTTCTCTTGGCAGACACCATTGCAAATAAGCTGCATTTACAGAAAGTCAGTGATTT